GTGCCACCTTAAGACGACGAAGAATCAGTGACGCCAGAAGCCTTGTCACAACAGGCGTCAATCTAACACCTCTGTGGTTGCTTCATTCAGTTTTCAACGCAAACTCCTTATTCGGGTGGATATTTCATTCCTAACCCTTCCCCTGATAGCTCATCGTCCTTGTTTCTAAAACCCTCTGAAATCTTAACCACTAGATCTTTTGTAAGCACCCAGTGGTGAGTCCCAACTAGTTTGAGCAGTTTGCTGATCTCTTTTGTCATCGGGTCTGTCTTTTTATCAGTACCTAGCCAACTCTTGCTTTCAAACAAAAAAATTGCACAGCACGTCTTCAGTGATCAAAGTGCCTTTTCTCGTTAGAATAGAAACGATAATGGATATGGTGTTCCCAAACCATAGATCGCCCTTTTAAGGGAACCAGTCCAACGCATCCGTACACACTTATGAAAGGGTTATTTTTTAAACGATGTTCACAATGCTATTCCACGTGGTTTTACTTGTTGGGGCCTGTGGATGGACACGCAGACGAGGGTTATTCTAAGCCTCATGTCTGGTTGGTTCCCATTCAAAAGTTTTATGGTGTTACATGTGTCCCGGCCTTTCCAAGTGATTGCGACTTCCTGACTTATATCATCCGGGATCAGTAAAACTTAAATCTGAGCTCTTGGAACTGGACCGCCGGCATTGTGCTGTTCGCACTTGGTAAGAATCTCGAGTTTTATCTTAACTCGCTACTTATTGAGCAGTATTGTTCCCTTCCGGGTTGAAAGAACTGTAGAGTTCTTTTGATTTTGCCCACAAGTGAAGCTTCAGCTTCCTGTTCACTGGCGAAATGTGATAGAAAAACCTTTGAAACAAAAATCGCTTATTTCGAATAACCTATGTGCACACTCCAGATGTGGTTCTTCCAACTACTGTTGTGTGGCTCAATCCGATTATTGACTAACTACCTAGCTGTGTGACTATATTCCAGACGTTCTTCATGCCACCGTTTGCGTGATGTAGGCTTTCTCCATTGGACGTTATAATTGTGATCATGCTGCTAGTCTTGCAAACCGTCCGCTTCCGTTTGCTGGTCTTGCTCCTCCCTGGCGAGATGGACCAAGTGGTTAGAGCGCGAATTTGCTGAAGGTCCGTGGTTCGAACCCGACCTCTGCCACTCGACTTCCTCTGTCTAAGCTTGGGCAACTTGGCAGTCTCCCAGCCCTCGTGCCTCCTTCATGTGGCATGACAGCTAGGCACCGAAAGAGTGCTGCAGCTGGACGATCTGTTCGCATCGGGTTGAATGGTCCGCACATGTCCAGTGCAAACTGTGTGGTTGAACCAATCCTCCGCCGGGGCCCGGGGTGCATCGTTCAATTTGATAGCTAAATCCGCAAGTAGATCCCCGCATTCTTTCACTGAAAGTATTCAATCGAGTTGGGACCTCAGTCACCTTCAAAAGACGAATGGAAAGCTTCATCATACCGTTGAAAACTGTAAGAGCTCTGAGGCTGAGGAAGATAGCTTTTATCGTGATTCTGGCAGGTGATATGAATGTTCAGGTTTGTTGACTATGTCCCTCTCAGACCGATCTTGGCGGCCTATTCGCAGTCGACACTGACCACATAGGTAATGGTGAACGGCTCTTTTAGTTGTGTGCTGAACGCCATTTGTTTCTAACTAGCACAGGCGCTCAGGTGTGTGACTTGGGGGGCACTAACTTCACACGAGCCGTGGACTCATTTGGACCATGTAGCATTCTGCTAGCAGTGGAGAGCTGCGATACGAAATTGTTGTTCATTTTGGATGACACCCTGTGGACACGCTTATCTAATCGCTTGTCTTCTGGAGCGAGCCGGTTGGGGAAAATCCACCACCTGCAAGGTGTCTCTGTAGTTCAATCATATCGAGGTGAGTTGGCCGAGAAGCCCTCAGAACTCTGTGAGCACAATGGTGACCAGGAGTATGCCGACGTCATGGCGGAAGCTTTAGTTTGGGACTTTTTGGAGCAGCTCGTTTAGAAATGCAAACTATTTTAAATAACCTAACTAATTCTACTGCTTCACACCTGTAAGTTATACAGTGCTACCGCCAGACTGGGTGGGATTAACTCCATATCGAATGCTTACCGGCGAACCGATCGATGTGGTAGGTAATTTCTTTTGCCTGGGCAGCTACATGAGTTCCGAGTAAACTGGCAAAAGATAAAATACTTTCCGCATTGGGAAGACCAGGGTAGCGTTGGTCTACCTCCGACATCTGTGGCGCCAATCAGATATCCGCTCGACTGTTGAGGATAGAGTGCACAATGTCGTGGATCAGAAAGAAATTTGACCGCTGCATTTGGGGTATCTTCGGAGACTCTGTGTTTGACCATCACTGCCTCCGGAGCATTGCGCTGGTGTGGTGGGGAAATCGGCTCAATAATGTTGAAGTACGCCGGAGGGTTTTCTTGAAAGTCTACTTTTCCCTCGATAGTCAGCTGGTTATGGATTGCGCTGATTATACCACATACTTCGTATGCTAGAGGACCGTTTGCTTCGTGTAGCCCTCTTCGCACAGCCTTGTGTCGAACGGTGGCGACCGAGAGGTGGCGAGTCTCGGACTTGGTGACATAGTCAGTTCAATCACGTTGATAATAATCGCCTCCCCGGATGAAGATCGCGGGACGAAACAGACACGAGACGTGACAGATATGGTTGTGTCACGCAGCCATCAGAGCTATCTACTCAATGCGTAGCTCTCACTGCTTGTCATACCCGTCAGCCAGAACTAGTCGACGTCAATGAGCTGGTTAGGTTATCGCCTCCAACGCTTTCATTCCCTTATTCTCCTCATCCTCGCCGAACGAACTTGTAACAGCTCAGACCACTGAACTTAGGTACATGGTTTGTGAGCTAAAAAAACTAAACTAAACTGAACTGCATTAGTCTTGTGTGGTCAGAATGGTTTGTCACGACATCTGAAGTAAGTGCGATTGTTTTGGTGGCATCACTTCACCAAACATGGACTCGAATGGTCAGAATGGATTCGGGTCACAATTTTTTCAGTCATCAAGTCGCGCCTTGATTCAACCAAATAGGTCTGATCTCCGACCGCAGTAGAGTAAATGAGGTACGCAACTGGTCATACACCTGCGTGGTAACCTTAGTTGAATTTCACTCTAATCAGTACCGGTTGACCGTACGCAAGGCACCCTCAAGTGAGGCTTCCACGCAGAAAGGTGCGGTTAGCCTCTTCCTAGAGGGAAGGCTGATTCTAAGCAGTAATATGGGTAACTGGTAAGACTCACCGAGCTAGGTAGTTTAGCTTCCTCGGGTGGATATTTCATTCCTAACCCTTCCGCTGATAGCTCATCGTCCTAAGCAAGAATATGGGTAACTGGTAAGGCTCACGGAGCTAGGCAGTTTAGCTTCATAATTTTCGTCATCAACCAGGACCTAGTAGGCACACTGACCTATAGGTGTCGGTGGAAAGGAAAGGGATGAGTGAGGACTGAATAAAACAAGGCCGTAAGTCCATAGGTAAAACGGCTAAGGACAAGGTATCAAGCTCATCAAAACACTACGAAATTAGCAGATCTGAGCACTGTTTCAGAAATTATGGTGACTTATCGGTACACTTGTTGCGGGTCAAGGTTTCGCAAGATAAGACTGGTAGAGAACTAAGAACCACCGTCCACCAGAAGTCGGTTGACACTGTCTATTCTTCTGCGTCATTTAGGCATACTGATACTCATAGGTGCGTCCCACAGGTAATACATCCTGACCGCTGTTATTCCAGACAAACCAGAGACATATGAAGTCATTCGAGGGGTCCAAAACACTGCTAATACGGGATTAGCATTCCGGAAGTGAAGCACTCATAATCGAATGCAACGACTGAACTAAGATCTGAATAGGGTAATCAAATAACCGCTCACTAGAATCGACGATCACAAGATAAGAATAAACATACCACCAAGAAGCGCAGCTGAATGTCGAGTCAAGTTATCGGCAACACAAGGATGCGAGCTACATACGAGAGACCGAGTAAACTGAGTAATAGAGACAACTATTGACTGAGGCGGTGGAAATCACCAAACATCCCGCTGTGCACAGAGTAGGAGTGGCTCTAAATCAACCGAATTAACACCCAACAATATGCTGATATCGATGCAGACGAATCACCAGCGGAAGTGTTATAGCATTGACTAACGCAACTAAAATCGCAAACGACCAAAGCGATAGTAAACACCTCTCTGTCTTAGAACGGGACTAACTTAGTAACCTACTCACTGGTGAAGTCCAAAAGTTACCAAACAGTAAATTCACCAAACCTTTTCGAAACGATGCATTCACATTCGTTCTAAGCGCTTCCAGTCGACTGAGACGACAACTGTAATCGAAGGCTGTCCCTGTCGATAAAAAAACCGCACTTAAATACCAGCACGTCACTGCACACTACCCAAACCAATTCAAATCCATTACGTGCTTAGATCCTCTTGGTCGGTGCCAAGGCGCTCACGTCCAAGGTACTCAGCTCAACGAACAGAACAATAGCTATCTAGACAATGTGAGTTGTCAGCATTCACATCAATAGCAGAGTAAGTGAACGAATATACTTCATTTTACAACCAGCGGCGTAACTATAGCAGTCGAGCCCTGTTTTGATTTTCCCGTGACCCCAATGACTTACTTTCCAATTCGACTTTTAACTTACTTGATTCTGTTAAGTCTTTTTAAGGTTGAAACGACAGTTTCCTTGGGTAGTATTTAATGCAAATAAGTTATCCTTTGGGAGTCCAACACGTAGGAACATCCTTTAGGCCTATATGAGGAGGCTACGGACTGCGACTTCTTTCGTGTGGTTTTCATAGTTGTGATAAAGAAATGACATTTAAACTAGATCAAACCAGTTGTATACTGAGAACAAAGCGCGGGTCGTCAATGGAGAAATGTGTTAGTCTGATCTCATGGTTCTCATCAAGTTGATTTAGCTAGACTTTCGATGATGAAACTTCAATTTCGTTGCTTTTACAGGAACCGAAATCGATCCAAGAGACATAGTCAACGGACACCGAGAGAAATCGCTGGCGTTACTCTGGTGTCTATTGCTCCGTTACCAAGTCCTCAGTCTGGTCGATATGAGACTGTTGGACGAAGAGATTGAACGCCTTCGATCGATTCCTACGGGTGACAAAGCTCCCGATTCATCAGATGGTGAGGAAACGGGCACACACAGTGACGATGTGGTCCATATGAAATTGTTCCTATGGGCCAGTCTCGTTTGTCGCCTTTATCAGGTGGAGGTGCGTTCCAAGTTTTATCACCTGTACTCATCTATGCTTGTTTGTGCCTAATGGCACGATTTTGTTTCAGGTCGTCTGTCACCAGGCCATCGTCTCACAGTGACAATATGACCAACTTAGCATCCATCTAGTCTTTCCTACCATACTGGTTAATGAACAGATTTCTGGTAAAAGCTACCAGCTTAGCGAAATATACTCATTTTTATTGTATCGTTGGTGGCTGTCTATTGGTTACGCCTGCACTGAGCCTACCAGACTACACAATAAGGAGAAGACAGAGAACTCGGAACGCGGCTGTATTGTCAAGACAAAACATACAGAGCTTATGCGCAAATAAATGGGATGACTAAATGGCCAAATACGGTCGTTGGCTTGTTCGTTCTGTACAGCCAACGGTGGTGTTGCGGCCGTGAACAATTTGAGCCCCACTCCATTGGTCTTATGTTGCTGAGTCGTGTTTGGCGAGTTCCGCGAACGCACCTGCTTTCCAAGCGTGTCGTAACGATGGTGACCTTAGGGACGCGTCACTCCCTGCACATGTGCTTTTTCCATGTCTGAGTGCGTCCTGACAATTTGCAAACTAGTTAAGTTTTTCGAGAGACTCACCTGAAACCCAGCTGAACCTCCCGTTTGTGATGTTTCCAGACAACTGAATGTGCTGCACCAGGCTGCCTCATGTTTCAGTTGCTACGATATTCGAAATATCGCGATACATGTATATTCGTAATGCACTACTCAAAAGGTTGCTGAAAATTCACCGACAGCCCACGACCGGTTTCGCCCTTCTTGGGGCTCATGAGGTAGGCACGTTTCTCGAGTTTCCGTCAACTTTATGTTCTACTTGAAACTAAATTGCACGAAATTAGCGAAATACACTCATTTGCAAACTAATTCGGTTTATCATGGGACTCACCTGGAATCCAGCTGAATCTCCGGTTTGTGATGTGTCCAGGCAACTGTCGACGCATTTTCAGCAACCTTACGAGTAGTACATTACACTGTCAGCTTGTTTACAATTCCGTCTCTCTCCTTCTCTTTTCATTTACGTACATCTGGTGATCACAAAGCCCCGGTGACTAGCAGTACCAAGGACGGTGTTGCTTCAAGTCATCATTGTAGAATCTCTGCTTGGTGGAATAACTCCTGACAGTCACCTCTGTCTTATGCGTTTTTTTTTAAATCCGTCAAAGTATTTCATATACAAGAGATCGGTTGCTACCTATTCGTTTTCTGCATCTGTCCAACCGACCGAAATTCTGACACCGTTGGGCACAATTTTTGCCGCTACGTGCTCACAAACCATTGTGGTTGCCCGTGAAATGAACGTGCAGGTTCGATTGGACGCTCATGCGGCTGAGTTAGTCGCTTGTCCTATGTAATTCAAAGTTCCCTAATGGTCAGTTCCTACTCTAAGTCGCTTACTCTTACTCCAATCGATCCTATTGTCGTCGGTTACCGGTGAAGCTGATCAGTTGCCCTCTCTAGTTCGGTCTGGAACGCATGTGGAAATTCGAACAACAGAGGTTTTCGGATGTGGACGCTGTGCGACGCGGGTACTGTTGTATACGGTGTGACCAAATGACTCCGCCGAGCAGTGAACCTGGGACTGGGTTGGACTCTGAGCGACAAGTTCCTGACGGTCTTGACTAAATCTCAATTTGACGGGTTTTCTTACACCAGTGTGGTTGTGATCCAAGAGAAATGGACGTCGCACATTCCCAGATACTTATTTAGCTGGTGCGTAGCACCATAAGGAAACCTTTCAGCCCTCGTATGAGTCTTCGTCTCTGTTGGGGAAACATGCTGGGTTTATTGGGCAGAACATTTCGAACGATAATTTACTTGACCGCCTACATCTGTCCAATCAAACTTCCGACTGACAGCCTAGATTCTGGATTCATGGATGGAGGTTAAATCTTTAGTCAGTGTCTGTCCGCCTTAGTTACATCGATTTTTGATAGAAAATTCGTCTCAACCGTCCGAGACGTAGGCTCTGAACATCCCTGTTACGTTGTTGCTCATTATTCATTCTGAAAGCTGTGACAGTTTCTGGGGCAATTGAAGTCATTTGGGATAGCTTGGCTGATGTGCACCACTTGTCATCATCATCATTGTCAGCTGTAATAACCGCGTACTTGTCGTGCAGTGGTTGTAGCTGCCACAGCTCCGTCCACCGATGATTCGGGGAGGTGGAGTAGGTAGCTGCGCATGGGAGGCGGGAGCTGATAAATTAGTGCGTAAATACAGCACTGTAGTTGGACTGTTAATTGGGGGGATTGGGAAAGGAGCTATGCATTGGTGGCAATAGCTTTGATGCGTAAGCGCCATTGAGGGCGCGACTGGGCCATGTCTGACAATGTCTCTAACCGTTGATATGGCCCGATGCACCACTTGTGGTTTCAATACGACGTACCATTCCGTTCCATCCGGGTGTTTGTGTGATTTCCAGCCATTTATTCAGCTGTTCATTGCGTTTAACAGGCCTCAGTTCGATCGAAGTCCTCCATGGTTTGAGCTTTTCTAAAGCCGACCATATCCCTCTATTCCACTCAAGATTCTTATATCATCGTTTCCTTCAGCTAGCTCGGGTCCCTCTGCTCTCCTATTCACAGGTTCTGAATCTGGATGAGTCGTTTTCCGATGGCCGGGCCCTGTGCGTACTCTTGCATCACTATCTTCCCACAGTGTTGCCCGGTGGCTTGGTTCGACACCTGACCACTTCAACTGCTTCGAGTTACCATTTGGCGCGACGTACTCCACACCTAGCAAGGACAAATCGGTACAACCTGCAGCTGTTCCAACGCAAGGTTAGCTAGCTATCCCGTGTCAGGTTTTATCGCATTTCTCCGATTGCCTCACTCCGTTTACTGCAGATTTACTTTTTGCGGTTCACGCTTTGAATGGTTGCTTAACTGAGGTTGCAAAGCGCTACAGGTTACGCCGGTTGGGATCTGTACTATGAATATCCAGCTTCATACCCTCGTTCCCGAAAATTCGTGTCAGGTATGACATATCGGTTCAGTGCGAAATTAAGTCGGCCACCAGTACTGGGTGCTGTAAGCTCTTCGCACCTTCTGGGACGCATATGATGCACCTCACATCGGAAACCCAACAGGACGTGACACGCAACTAACATGCTGTCACTCCCATGCTAAGCTAAAGTTTGCGCTATGTGAGGTCAGCAGATGCCCTGCGGGTCAGTTCGACGGATGTCACTTTCCTCCGACGCGGTGTTCATATGCGTTTACCCTGTTGACTTCTGTAGGTGGAGGCACCTTGCTGCTGGTCGTTTTCCCCTCTTTTCTACCCAGTTTATCTATTTATCCTTTCAGCTTTTTTTCAACGTTGCCCTCATAGTTGTTTGGCATGTAAGCGCCATTATATATTACTGATGTATTGCTGTCTATTCTGATGATGCTGATGCTGGACACTGAAGCGAAGGTAACTGCTCCGACACGTTGACGGCATAATTCTTCACTCGTTACAATTGGCAGTAACTTTCTCTGTCTAGGATATGCTCAGGCTTTTGTTCGTCCGGCGGATGACAATTCACCGGGAATTAATTTTTTCGCGTCAGCCGCTACAAGCATCCCCTCCGTAGTGACTGCAGCAGCATGCACATTCAAGTCTACGTTACTGTGTGTCGATGCTGTTGGTTTCCTGAGTTCTTCTTTTGACTGGTAGGGTGGAGGCTTATGATCCAATACTGAGATGTGACCCCTTAGAGCAACTTGGTTAGCCGATCAGTGGTTCTGTGTCAGTCCTGGAGTAGTGGCCGGCCTCCAATGGGTGCTATCGGTATCACAACTCCGTAGCTTTGACCAAGCAACTAGCTTTGCTTCGCCCGCTCATGCTGATCAAGTCATCTAAAATTTCTGAGCCCTTGCACCCGACCCTGCTATCCAACATGGATGAAAAGTAAACTTGTGTTGAGCCTTGCTGAACGGCAGTGCAACTCTGTATCGGTCCCTTAGCTTCCTGCTCCGCCCACTATGGTATATCAAAAGGCACGGTAGTTCTACACAGCCATTTATGGAGACAAAGGAATATTATCACAACTGTGTTTAAAGGGTAGTCAGTGTGTTCCACAAGGTCGTGCCAGAATCTCCGTGAAGGGGCGAGAAGCCTCGAGTCAGAGATGCTCGATCCGGATTGGCTGGAATTTTGACCAATCAGGGCATGTCTTCGCTTGGTTCGTATCCTGCACGTGACACATCCGTACAAACGATGTGATGTTCGGTTATTAGGCACGACTGGAGTCCAAACAACTTGGGAACTGCGTAGTCCGTCATTGGAATTATGAGATGGTTGTGCCCATTTTTAGAGACTGAGTTGATATCGATTAGACTCCATGCTGGATTACTAAAGTCCACCCGGAGAATAACCGCGTGGCTTAAAGCGGTGTCCACACGGGGTCTTCTGTTTCATTCTTTATCGACCTTGCATGTCAGTGAAGCACGATGTTCAGCCCTGGTGTTTTGTTGTTCCTGATGAAGTGAAAAATGATTTGTACCTGGAAATTGGTATCAGGGCAATAAGTTTCTAAGCTATCTTCTGTACTACATGACCTCTGCACAGCAATACCTCTAGAACCGGATTTTCGGTTAATCTTGGATGAAAATCCATATTGAAGTGTACCTGTTGCTTTCCTATCTCCATAGGGGCTCTCCGCCGAGATATTACTGCATGCCTCTCCCCATCACACTTTCCAATCGATTTGTTCAACGCGCTGGTTATTTACTGATTTCATTTCATTATCATAACCAAGGTTGCCTTACTGCTTCGGCTCTGAGTCCTAGTCTTTTGTATATAGTATAATTTAAACAAACGAAGGAGATGCTGATACTTTGGAGGAATCGACTGGGGGTAGAGTATTACCACAATCCGCATTATCATATTGTTTGCTCGCTGCGTGACCGAACCGTAACAGTATCTACCTCGTCAATGCTTCTGCAGTCACTTTAGGAAAGTAGGTACTTTCCGCTCGCATGCAATTGGCTTTTCACGCCTTTACTATCGAAAAAGTTTGACTAGGGAGACTAAATGCAGTAATTCGTCTGAACACTTATTGCGTAAGTTATACTAGTAAGTATGGTGTATGGGTAACATTTTCCACCAAAACAACCAATCCCAAAAGCATAGTTCACCGAGATTCCCCCTGAAAAGTCAAAATTTTGACATTTTTATTGAAATATTTTCCTTAAAAAATACACGTGTACTCTTTGCCATATCTGTGCTACTAAATGCAGCAATTCGTCTGAACACTCATATCGCGCAAGTTACCCTAGTAAGTATGGTGTGTGAGTGACATTTTCTACCAAAACAACCAATCCCAAAAGCATAGTTCACCGAGATTCCCCCTGAAAAGTCAAAATTTTGACATTTTTATTGAAATATTTTCCTTAAAAAATACACGTGTACTCTTTGCCATAATCTGTGCTACACGATGCACATGGGAACCACGAGTAGACAACATTGTAAGATGTGCTATTAGTATTAGTGATAATGTTTGTCAGTTTCTTTGCCATCGCGTTGTGTACAGGTTTTGAGCCACAGAAAACTGTTAAGCACAACCGCCCCCAGCGGGCTAGCCCATGCGGCGGAAGTGTGTCATAAAGTAAAACTATAAAAGATGGTTTGGGCATAACACACTACCTTATTCCACTCTGCGTTCATCAGCTCTCGTATTTGGGAGATGTTCCTGCCCTACTGGAACCTAGTATGATACCTGATTTCGGTGACCAGCCTGGATTACTTCCCCCGGCTCTCGTGTTGGCTACGTTGGCCTATCTTGTCAGCCGTCTAATCTCTATTGGACGACAAAAGCTACGCGATCTGGTGGAGGACCACGCGGCTCGAATTTTACAGACTGCCTGGAGGAAGCGTCAGCAGGTTTTGCAGGCGAGGAATCTTCGGTTGTTGTCGTGTCATAAGCGCGCTACGTCTCCCCGGTACGCTATCCTTCTATTCTATTTCCTATTTGTTTTTTCATTGTTACTTACTTATCGTGAGTAGGCACGTGATGCACGCGAAATGATGCTTTCCCTTGCGACGGCATCCACGAAGGGATCGCTGGACACTTCTAATCTTCGTTCTTCGCGAATCAGCTCTATGTATTTGTAGCTAACTTTTTATATCACTGATTTCCTCTCTTCTGGTTTCCACAACAGAATATCTGTCTACATCGTGCTGTTCGTGCTTACTCTTTTACTCTGTTGACCTGTGGTAGTTTCTGATACTCTTTTTGAGAGTCTGGGTGCTGCTGTTGACAGCTGGAACAGCCCACTGATCATATCACTGATCATATCTCACTCGGCATTAAAAATTGATGTAAATTTTTCATTAAAGGAAAATACTCACAAGGTTACTGAAAAATTTCCTACAGCCCACATTCGGTATCACCCTTCTTGGGGCTTGTCGGGTAGGCGTAGTCCCCGAGTTTCCGTCAACCTCATGTTCTACTTGATGTAAACTTTATTGAATGATAACTTCAAATTCCCTCATCGAGCTTCTCAATAAGGACTGTTTTAGCCATTGTTGTGAGCGTTCGTTGTTGATCTTCGTGATGTGATATTCGGTTAATAAGCGATCAACTGCGATCATCATCACCATCAGCTGTAGGAACCATGCACTTGTCGTACATTGGTTACAGCTGCTACAGTTCTGTTCACCGATTATTTGGGGGGTGGGGTAGATAGCTGCTACAATTGATGTGTAAATACAGGATTGCCAGTGAACTTTTCACTTTGGATATTGGTAGGGGAGCTATGCATTAACATGTTTTGCTCTGGCCCATCTGATGGTTGCTCCCAACTAAGGTAAGCTCTATTCTTCAGGCTGCTGTCTTAAATTCGTAACCTTGTTTATCACCGCTTTCATTAATTAAGGCAGGGAGTCCGATAACGTGACGAGCGGTGACGGAGTTCTGCTTCGCAAGATATGTGGCGTCCTTTGTTGTAGTTAGCGATATGTAACCATGCTATATGTTAATTCGAATGATAACATCTTCGGCTGCGACACACTTATTTTTTGCATCAGTAGTAAGTAAGAAGTTCGTTTTGTTATAATATACAAAATTTTATTCTGTTGAACCTTTACAGTTCGCATCTACTAACGGGACATATTGAATCGGTGAGTTGTTTCGGTAAACCTGTATTTATTCTTATCATTCCTGTCGATAAAGAAAGTGCGTTTGAATTCTGGTATGACTGTTGCTATGTTGTTCCAGAGGGAAGTTAGAAGAAGGGGTTCAATTACTTTTTGGGAGGTTTCAAACCAAGTCTCATTTCAGGTCTCTCATGATTACTGTCATCATCTTCTGGTCTCCGAAACCACACCCCTTGAAAAGTGGTTGGCGTAGGTGTACCCTGGTGAACTGGTAAATAGATATATTCAAAGGTGTCCCCGTTTTAGTTGATGGAGTCATTTTACTGCTTACCCCCGTCCCACTGAATGCCGCTTCAGTTTGAAGAAAACGGGACTGAGCACGGACGATGGACTGGTGCATGTTACTATGTCCTTCGACTTGCCGCCGCTCCTGGGTTTCCATTAAATATAATATATTTCGCGATTGTGCGAAGAACTTTGGAGTTGTTGAGTTATGTTGCATACATTGCCAACTTTTTGAAACTTTGTAGGTACGATGGTTGATCGTCAGATTTGGCCTCTAGAATTTTCGAGATTGGAAATCTGGGCAATTCTGTTTGTGTCCTTGAAGACTACTTGATAATTCACGATGAAATGGCAATAACAGTTTGGTCATTGGGTTTGCAAAATCCTCAGGCAACCCATCACAAATCCCACTTTCTCAAGGTGATCCAGGCTATCCGTTTGTAAAATTGTATGCGGTATCTGTTAGCGGTTTCGTCTGCAGTACTCAGAGACATATTGTAGCCAAGCGTGTCCAATCATTTTTCAAGTGTATCTTTTTCTTTCAGTGGGTTGTCAATATCCAGCGGATTTGTCGGTCTTATCTGGCCCGGAGACACCGTTCAAGACTGCACTGCGACCGTGAACTGCAAACCCGAGCCGCAGTGTGCATTCAAGCCTGTTGGAGAGGTTTTCTCACGCGCCAAAGTTTGATTCAGAAGCATAGAGCTGCACTTCAAATACAGGCATGGTGGCGCTGTCATACTCTCCGCAGAAAACTGCTTGTCACCCAACGAGTGAGTTAATTGGTGTGCTCTACATTGTGGAAGGTTGTGTTTTGACACCACAGCAGTCCCTCCGAGAGAAGGACTCCATTCGAGGAAGGGGTTTATGCCCTGTCGTGGATGACACATAACGTCACTTTGGGTCCCTATTGGAGGCAGTGTCCCCCCTTCGAAGATCTGTCCTAATAGACTGTAGTCCCTAATTCGCTTCTGTTCCAGACTTACTTAGTCTGCTGACGATTATTTTCTCATGTGTGAAACCTCATGCTTGCATCGGAAATTCGACATTGGGTTTTCCTTCTATCGCATGAAGAGCACTAAAACCGACTCTGTAATAGATGTTCCCTTCTGTGGCGGAATATTCCAAAGTGAGAGTCCTGTGCGCTTGTAAGGTCTGTTTATACCGTGACCGGATTCGAAGGATGTTTTTTCTGGATATGAAACCTCCAGTAAAACCACCGCTGTTCCCAACTTATATTAACGGCGTCAACCCTCGTTACACCCAACGGGCGTAAATATTTGCAACGTTTCGGTTAAAACAAACCAGAAATCCGAGTTGTCTTGTAAAGATTGTGACAACAGCAAACTGCATATTTGTTCCAGTCTAACTGCTTTGTTGTTTGTCAGGCCTGTTTGTGCGACAGGCGTGTGACTCACGAAGTTCACTCTTCGTCCTTGCCTAGTTCACAGGCGAGCTCAAGTGCTTGTCGATATAGCCCCTTTTAATAATCAATTTCATCTACGCTAGAAGACTACCTAATGAGAACAAGGGTGTGTTGCCGAATATGTTTTCGTAAGATGGTTCTAGTGGTTAGAGCGCGAGTTTACTTCTCGGAATGTCCGTGGTTCGAACCCGACATCTGCATCTCCACTTCCCTTGTCTAGGCTTGGGCTACCCGGCGGTATCTCAGCCCTCGTGCTTTCATCGGGTGGCATGGCAGCTAGGCACCAGGCACCCTAGGTTGTCCTCCAACACTGTTGGCTTCTTCACTATTCAAATGGTTCATAATATAATTGTGGAGGAACCCGTTGTCTCTCAGAACGTTGGTGAGAGTTAGGATTTCTTGTTGCAGCTCTTCATCAGTTCATAGCGGAGCGGCCAAACCCATTTACATTGACATCTCGTTTAAGGGCGATATACTGGCCAACCTACTGACCAGGAGACTATTGACCAGTTTGAACAAAGTTTTCCCGGCGGCAACACCCCGAACCTGATTCACAAACAATCGTCTATGTTCCTTTAATCTCAAAGATAGAGTGTCTTTTCATGCTCAAAATGTTAGTGTACTCATTATCTTGCTACTGAGCAGCGGAATACATTGGACGCACGACTAGGCAACTCGGTCAAATAATGAAGGAACACAACTCACCCTGGCTAGGTTTTGTAACTAGGAGGACGATAACCATCTCAGTCGTGCAGTATCTAGCAGAAACGGTGTACGACGTGATACCCGACTAGCGCCTCCTACTGTTTACAAGGCGCCCAGATTGATGTAGCAACTCACAATCGAATGGCTGAAGCTATCGCCATACGACTCGATCCTTTGTCGGCAAAGACTCTTTGTTTGCGTGTTGTACTTGTTATGGTCCAACTCAGCTCCACATACACTCACACCCTGTGGCGAACACGACCACCGCACTGCCTGCACTGACAAACTCGGGTCATATCCTATTGGTGACTTGAATCAGTTGTTCCTTGACAGGTAGCCAATGTCGTCTCTCACTCAACTCTTTGTTCTTGCACACCATGCTCATTAAACTATGTTACATACTGCTCCCTTAGCCTTTGCATTTGTATGACTTGAGAAGAACCTGCCGAAAACCTGTTCGACAGCACATCCTGATGACGTGTGTTATATATTCGTAATATCTGTTGCACTGTGATTACCCTCTGTGCATTCCCAACAGTGGTTCGTGGATGTCCAACGAATATGTCGCGCTCATTTGGCCAGGCAACGACTCGTCAACCTAATGAGCAACGTAGAGCGAGAAAAATGTGCAGCGGTTGTTATCCAGTCGTGTTGGCGTGGATTCCTTGCACGCAGACAACTGTTCGTGGAGCGGCGTGCAGCAGTCCGTATCCAGACATGGTGGCGCGGTAAAATAGCCAAGCAAAACTGGGTCGCTTTACGTCGATGGGTGATCGATGTACAGCGTATGGGCCGCACTCACCTGGCACGCGAGCGTTATTCCATCATGCTTGTTGACGCCGAACGGAGAAACAAAGCAGCTATTCGTATTCAGTCATTCTGGCGCACCTGCCTTTTCCGCCGACAGCTGGCTGCTGAGCGCTGTTCAGCAGTTCGAATACAGGCCTTGTGGCGTGGTATACTGGCTAGGCGAAAGTATGTCTCCACTTACCAAGTAAGCAAACACCGTCTGTGGCTATCTGTCGTACGCGTGGTTAATTCAAATGGATGAATTTTAGTTGGAGAGCTGTGTTGTGCTCTTAATGTGTGGATCGTGGCGGTCTAGTGCGTCACCACGATTGCAGCAACCCCCACATCCAATGTGACCCGTTTAAGTGCTCAACTTGTAATCATTGCCTTGTAAACATATATATATATATATATATATATATATATATATATATACCTAGTTGCAGCATCCCCGTGAGGGTCCAGCCTTAGTCACCAAACAAGACCTCTCGAAAAGAGGCAGTCTCCCAGGGGTGACAAGCAATATCCTTCCCCATAGTCGCGTCTTTTTGGAATAACCATGCCAACTTATTTCAGCTTCTGAAGAAACAAGACCCTGACAATGCCCGCTGATTAAACATTACAGGGAACCCGTTAACTGGATGTACTAGTGGATACCAGGTTCAAATTAACGGAGTGAATGGACATGGTAGTAGTAGGACTGTAGAGGACTATTTTCCGCGAATCGCTTAGTGAGGAACCAGTGTGCTGTGAAGCGTGCGTGTTTGGGTTCGTCACCTTCTTTTACCATTTGGGCTACTCGTTCCAACTTGTGTATCATTAGTGCAGTCGAATGCGGGCTCCCGTTAGGGAGGCGAGATGGCTAAGTGGTTAGAGCTCGAATTTACTGACCGGACGGTCCGTGTTTCGAACCCGACCTCTGCCTCTCAACTTCCCCTGTCTATGCTTGGGCAACCTGGTAGTATCCCAGTCATCGTGCTTCCTTCTGGGGGCATGGCAGTCAGGCACCGAAAGGGTGCTACAGCTAAACGGGTGGTGATGATGGCACAATCAAGGTCGATAAAAAAATATAACCAGCAAACGATACCGCTTATCTGCACACTAGGTGGAGGTCCATTAGTGTATTGCAAGAATTCGCGCCTCGGTTTGAGCAGTGAAGCATTCGGTGGAAGTAAGGCTACAATTCAGCTAACCCGCGTGAAATCTGTGCGAAATGCTAATGACTAAATTTCAATTCCTACTGACCTTTTGGGTGAAACGATGAAACTGTGGAGTTTCACTCTATCGTGCTCTGAATGCAGCGCATAATTCTGCTAACTTCCCCACACTGCGTATCCATCAGAAGTACCTGTCTGTGCCATATTTATCTATATTGGAAATATGCTCTATTTTTTGCGGGTCCTATACTGAAGAACGAGAGGTTGAGTCTACCGTCCAAGCCAAGTTACTGTGTGTGCGTAAGTCGCGAACTGCATTGCACGTTCAGTTCAGGTAGAGCATAAGGTTGACGGGAATTCGATCACTGCGCCCAACTAAACCTGACTGGGTAGAGCGAAACCGGTCATGGACTATCGAAGAGTCTTCATCAAATTTACGGGTCGTATATTCCACCATGAAACCATAATGCNGGGGGGTGGTGTAGATAGCTGCTACAATTGATGTGTAAATACAGGATTGCCAGTGAACTTTTCACTTTGGATATTGGTAGGGGAGCTATGCATTAACATGTTTTGCTCTGGCCCATCTGATGGTTGCTCCCAACTAAGGTAAGCTCTATTCTTCAGGCTGCTGTCTTAAATTCGTAACCTTGTTTATCACCGCTTTCATTAATTAAGGCAGGGAGTCCGATAACGTGACGAGCGGTGACGGAGTTCTGCTTCGCAAGATATGTGGCGTCCTTTGTTGTAGTTAGCGATATGTAACCATGCTATATGTTAATTCGATTGATAACATCTTTGGCTGCGACACACTTATTTTTTGCATCGGTAGTAAGTAAGAAGTTCGTTTTGTTATAATATTCAAAATTTTATTCTGTTGAACCTTTACAGTTCGCATCTACTAACGGGACATATTGAATCGGTGAGTTGTTTCGGTAAACCTGTATTTATTCTTATCATTCCTGTCGATAAAGAAAGTGCGTTTGAATTCTGGTATGACTGTTGCTATGTTGTTCCAGAGGGAAGTTAGAAGAAGGGGTTCAATTACTTTTTGGGAGGTTTCAAACCAAGTCTCATTTCAGGTCTCTCATGATTACTGTCATCATCTTCTGGTCTCCGAAACCACACCCCTTGAAAAGTGGTTGGCGTAGGTGTACCCTGGTGAACTGGTAAATAGATATATTCAGAGGTGTCCCCGTTTTAGTTGATCGAGTCATTTTACTGCTTACACCGTCCCACTGAATGCCGCTTCAGTTTGAAGAAAACGGGACTGAGCACGGACGATGGACTGGTGCATGTTACTATGTCCTTCGACTTGCCGCCGCTCCTGGGTTTCCTTTTTTCAAAATATATTTCGCGATTGTGCGAAGAACTTTGGAGTTGTTGAGTTATGTTGCATACATTGCCAACTTTTTGAAACTTTGTAGGTACGATGGTTGATCGTCAGATTTGGCCTCTAGAATTTTCGAGATTGGAAATCTGGGCAATTCTGTTTGTGTCCTTGAAGACTACTTGATAATTCACGATGAAATGGCAATAACAGTTTGGTCATTGGGTTTGCAAAATCCTCAGGCAACCCATCACAAATCCCACTTTCTCAAGGTGATCCAGGCTATCCGTTTGTAAAATTGTATGCGGTATCTGTTAGCGGTTTCGTCTGTAGTACTCAGAGACATATTGTAGCCAAGCGTGTCCAATCATTTTTCAAGTGTATCTTTTTCTTTCAGTGGGTTGTCAATATCCAGCGGATTTGTCGGTCTTATCTGGCCCGGAGACACCGTTCAAGACTGCACTGCGACCGTGAACTGCAAACCCGAGCCGCAGTGTGCATTCAAGCCTGTTGGAGAGGTTTTCTCACGCGCCAAAGTTTGATTCAGAAGCATAGAGCTGCACTTCAAATACAGGCATGGTGGCGCTGTCATACTCTCCGCAGAAAACTGCTTGTCACCCAACGAGTGAGTTAATTGGTGTGCTCTACATTGTGGAAGGTTGTGTTTTGACACCACAGCAGTCCCTCCGAGAGAAGGACTCCATTCGAGGAAGGGGTTTATGCCCTGTCGTGGATGACACATAACGTCACTTTGGGTCCCTATTGGAGGCAGTGTCCCCCCTTCGAAGATCTGTCCTAATAGACTGTAGTCCCTAATTCGCTTCTGTTCCAGACTTACTTAGTCTGCTGACGATTATTTTCTCATGTGTGAAACCTCATGCTTGCATCGGAAATTCGACATTGGGTTTTCCTTCTATCGCATGAAGAGCACTAAAACCGACTCTGTAATAGATGTTCCCTTCTGTGGCGGAATATTCCAAAGTGAGAGTCCTGTGCGCTTGTAAGGTCTGTTTATACCGTGACCGGATTCGAAGGATGTTTTTTCTGGATATGAAACCTCCAGTAAAACCACCGCTGTTCCCAACTTATATTAACGGCGTCAACCCTCGTTACACCCAACGGGCGTAAATATTTGCAACGTTTCGGTTAAAACAAACCAGAAATCCGAGTTGTCTTGTAAAGATTGTGACAACAGCAAACTGCATATTTGTTCCAGTCTAACTGCTTTGTTGTTTGTCAGGCCTGTTTGTGCGACAGGCGTGTGACTCACGAAGTTCACTCTTCGTCCTTGCCTAGTTCACAGGCGAGCTCAAGTGCTTGTCGATATAGCCCCTTTTAATAATCAATTTCATCTACGCTAGAAGACTACCTAATGAGAACAAGGGTGTGTTGCCGAATATGTTTTCGTAAGATGGTTCTAGTGGTTAGAGCGCGAGTTTACTTCTCGGAATGTCCGTGGTTCGAACCCGACATCTGCATCTCCACTTCCCTTGTCTAGGCTTGGGCTACCCGGCGGTATCTCAGCCCTCGTGCTTTCATCGGGTGGCATGGCAGCTAGGCACCAGGCACCCTAGGTTGTCCTCCAACACTGTTGGCTTCTTCACTATTCAAATGGTTCATAATATAATTGTGGAGGAACCCGTTGTCTCTCAGAACGTTGGTGAGAGTTAGGATTTCTTGTTGCAGCTCTTCATCAGTTCATAGCGGAGCGGCCAAACCCATTTACATTGACATCTCGTTTAAGGGCGATATACTGGCCAACCTACTGACCAGGAGACTATTGACCAGTTTGAACAAAGTTTTCCCGGCGGCAACACCCCGAACCTGATTCACAAACAATCGTCTATGTTCCTTTAATCTCAAAGATAGAGTGTCTTTTCATGCTCAAAATGTTAGTGTACTCATTATCTTGCTACTGAGCAGCGGAATACATTGGACGCACGACTAGGCAACTCGGTCAAATAATGAAGGAACACAACTCACCCTGGCTAGGTTTTGTAACTAGGAGGACGATAACCATCTCAGTCGTGCAGTATCTAGCAGAAACGGTGTACGACGTGATACCCGACTAGCGCCTCCTACTGTTTACAAGGCGCCCAGATTGATGTAGCAACTCACAATCGAATGGCTGAAGCTATCGCCATACGACTCGATCCTTTGTCGGCAAAGACTCTTTGTTTGCGTGTTGTACTTGTTATGGTCCAACTCAGCTCCACATACACTCACACCCTGTGGCGAACACGACCACCGCACTGCCTGCACTGACAAACTCGGGTCATATCCTATTGGTGACTTGAATCAGTTGTTCCTTGACAGGTAGCCAATGTCGTCTCTCACTCAACTCCTTGTTCTTGCACACCATGCTCATTAAACTATGTTACATACTGCTCCCTTAGCCTTTGCATTTGTATGACTTGAGAAGAACCTGCCGAAAACCTGTTCGACAGCACATCCTGATGACGTGTGTTATATATTCGTAATATCTGTTGCACTGTGATTACCCTCTGTGCATTCCCAACAGTGGTTCGTGGATGTCCAACGAATATGTCGCGCTCATTTGGCCAGGCAACGACTCGTCAACCTAATGAGCAACGTAGAGCGAGAAAAATGTGCAGCGGTTGTTATCCAGTCGTGTTGGCGTGGATTCCTTGCACGCAGACAACTGTTCGTGGAGCGGCGTGCAGCAGTCCGTATCCAGACATGGTGGCGCGGTAAAATAGCCAAGCAAAACTGGGTCGCTTTACGTCGATGGGTGATCGATGTACAGCGTATGGGCCGCACTCACCTGGCACGCGAGCGTTATTCCATCATGCTTGTTGACGCCGAACGGAGAAGCAAAGCAGCTATTCGTATTCAGTCATTCTGGCGCACCTGCCTTTTCCGCCGACAGCTGGCTGCTGAGCGCTGTTCAGCAGTTCGAATACAGGCCTTGTGGCGTGGTATACTGGCTAGGCGAAAGTATGTCTCCACTTACCAAGTAAGCAAACACCGTCTGTGGCTATCTGTCGTACGCGTGGTTAATTCAAATGGATGAATTTTAGTTGGAGAGCTGTGTTGTGCTCTTAATGTGTGGATCGTGGCGGTCTAGTGCGTCACCACGATTGCAGCAACCCCCACATCCAATGTGACCCGTTTAAGTGCTCAACTTGTAATCATTGCCTTGTAAACATATATATATATATATATATATATATATATATATATATACCTAGTTGCAGCATCCCCGTGAGGGTCCAGCCTTAGTCACCAAACAAGACCTCTCGAAAAGAGGCAGTCTCCCAGGGGTGACAAGCAATATCCTTCCCCATAGTCGCGTCTTTTTGGAATAACCATGCCAACTTATTTCAGCTTCTGAAGAAACAAGACCCTGACAATGCCCGCTGATTAAACATTACAGGGAACCCGTTAACTGGATGTACTAGTGGATACCAGGTTCAAATTAACGGAGTGAATGGACATGGTAGTAGTAGGACTGTAGAGGACTATTTTCCGCGAATCGCTTAGTGAGGAACCAGTGTGCTGTGAAGCGTGCGTGTTTGGGTTCGTCACCTTCTTTTACCATTTGGGCTACTCGTTCCAACTTGTGTATCATTAGTGCAGTCGAATGCGGGCTCCCGTTAGGGAGGCGAGATGGCTAAGTGGTTAGAGCTCGAATTTACTGACCGGACGGTCCGTGTTTCGAACCCGACCTCTGCCTCTCAACTTCCCCTGTCTATGCTTGGGCAACCTGGTAGTATCCCAGTCATCGTGCTTCCTTCTGGGGGCATGGCAGTCAGGCACCGAAAGGGTGCTACAGCTAAACGGGTGGTGATGATGGCACAATCAAGGTCGATAAAAAAATATAACCAGCAAACGATACCGCTTATCTGCACACTAGGTGGAGGTCCATTAGTGTATTGCAAGAATTCGCGCCTCGGTTTGAGCAGTGAAGCATTCGGTGGAAGTAAGGCTACAATTCAGCTAACCCGCGTGAAATCTGTGCGAAATGCTAATGACTAAATTTCAATTCCTACTGACCTTTTGGGTGAAACGATGAAACTGTGGAGTTTCACTCTATCGTGCTCTGAATGCAGCGCATAATTCTGCTAACTTCCCCACACTGCGTATCCATCAGAAGTACCTGTCTGTGCCATATTTATCTATATTGGAAATATGCTCTATTTTTTGCGGGTCCTATACTGAAGAACGAGAGGTTGAGTCTACCGTCCAAGCCAAGTTACTGTGTGTGCGTAAGTCGCGCACTGCATTGCACGTTCAGTTCAGGTAGAGCATAAGGTTGACGGGAATTCGATCACTGCGCCCAACTAAACCTGACTGGGTAGAGCGAAACCGGTCATGGACTATCGAAGAGTCTTCATCAAATTTACGGGTCGTATATTCCACCATGAAACCATAATGCAATATCTTGAATATTGTACCAGCTGAAACATGGAATGGCCATATCTGTGGCATTAGCACCTTTACCACAACTGGTGCTAATATGGATGTATGCCGAATGTAATGATGTGTGATGTCTAGATTTTGTCCTTTATTGGCTGTCATATACGGTTGAACTTACTATCCTTGCTTTCTTTATCCGAGCAAATAAACAGTTTGTCCGAACGAGCACCCGACGTTTTGCCCGGTAATTGCCGCTTGTCGTTCTACTGTCAAAACTACTTGTTCGAGTTGTTGCTGCACCAGCTGTGAGCGCAGCGATTTACACTTACAGTTCCATTGTATCTATGCCCCCACGCACAGCTGTTGATCAATGTTCAATGTGTATGCCGTGCTCACCTTGCACGCAAACGCTTTTCTGACCGTGTGGTTGAAGCTGAGCGGAGAAACCGGGCAGCTATCCTCATTCAGTCGCATTGGCGCAGATTGCTGGCGCGCCAACAGTTTGCTAAACAGCGAAGTGCAGCAATTTACATCCAGTCTTGGTGGAGAGCTCAACTAGCCAAGCAAAAGTGGCTTTCCATCCGTCTGTGGGTTATTGACTTACAACGCACAGGTCGTCGTTACCTGGTGCGAACACAGGTTTCCCGTCTTGTCTTTGAAGCCGAGCAGGCCAACCGAGCTGCAGTGCGCATTCAGTCGTGTTGGCGTGGTTTCCTTGAACGCCGACGGCTATCTAAGAAACGTAGTGCAGCCGTTCGAATTCAGGCGTGGTGGCGAGGTCAACTAGTCAGGCGAAAATGGCGTGAGACTTGTCAGGTGGGTTCATGTGTATTTACTGCATTTGTGAGTTTTGTCGAATTTCTCTTCACCTGACTCATTTGAACAGTTATCTTCCCCCTTTGGCACGATTGATCGGTGGACACAACTTAGACAGTTATTGAATTCTCGTTCGGTGGTTGACAGTGCAAGTAGTGGAATCGCTTGTTCATGCGGCTTTTGGTCCGTTTTGATGTGAAGATTCAGGTACGTGTGACGTGTGCTGACGATGAATTTGCAGCATGTCAGATGTCCAGGTTTATAATCCTGTCATGATCCAAGGCTTGTACTACCTATGGGTGATGATGAGGATCTATCTTTTGTTCAGAGTCTTCGGGAAAATAGGTAGTTTCTTTGTCTTATTACCACCACTACTTAGTACTATCGTACTACTTTGCTGTTGTTGTCATGGGTTAACGTAGGCCTCTGTGATAACCCTAATTACCATCGATTGAAAGACCCAGTTAAGGGTACGTTATTTGTTCCCTCTCTTGTTTCACGGACTCATACCCTGGGAACTAGACTCCTACTGGGTTTACTTAACAACATGTTTCGGAAACATTCTGTAGTTGGACCCATCACATGTAATTATCATGTCCTTGGCTTTGCGAAGCTCTCTGTAGTCTCCACACAACCATTGTTTTTTTAACCAAGCTACCAAGCCGCTGTTGCCCCGTGTCTTTTCAGGCCGTTGTCATTGTTCAAGCGTACATTCGCGGATTTTTAGCCCGTCGTCGCGTTGCCCAGCTTCGTCGGACAGCTGTTCAGCTCCGAGCCGCGACTGTCATACAAGCTTTTTGGCGTGGATTGGTTGTTCGCAGAAGGCTTTCTAATGAACGATTAGCCGCTTCACGAATTCAGCATTGGTGGCGTGGTCGGATTGCTCACCAACGATTTGTAAGAACATATCAGGTCAGTCTACTGTTTGCTCTCAACACGTTCTTCCACGTTCGTTGCCGTAAAATTGCGCTACTTCACGTCCTCCCCCTTATATACTGTGTCCGCTGGACTACTCTACACAGAAGCCGCTTAACGTCGTGGGTTGCATCCGATAGTTACACTGACTTCCTTTGAAGGAATGGCCGTGGTTTTTTGAAGCGGATCTAGGACAACTTGACAATTGGAAAGCTAATAGCTGATTCAAATATTTAGCCGAACTTCACCGACGGCATCGCTCCCGTATGAGTGTAGATCAGTCGCGCATGGCTTGACGACTAAGTTTGAAGACCTCGGCTGGTGCACTGTGTCATGTTGGTGATCATCGGACTGAGGCCGTTACAGCCATTACCTAATCGCATAGCCATTGTCATCGTTGCCTCTTCGGATTCTCAGTGCAACGTCAACAGAAGTGTTAGACCATAGCGTCCAGTGCGTGGCTTTCACCCGATGATCCTGACTATCTTGGGCCGATCAGTTTGCGGCCGCTTGGGCGAAAGTTTATCAACACACGGTTCACAGCTGACAAACCGAATTCAGCTCTCTAACCGGCAGACCATTGCGTCCAGTGCGTGGCTTTCACCCATGAACCTGTTGATATGAGTGGTAACAAAAAAGGATGTTGATTCGTGTTGAAGGAATTCGGAGTGGTAGAACGTCTTTAACCCTGGCAGTGTTATCCACCACTTGTTGATCCATGCTGGTTTTGTCAAGTACCTCTTTAGGCTCGTTGAGCTTGCGTTAACGTTTGTCGGTGTGCTAGAAACGTCTTTATAGACTCCGTTGGTTCTGGAATGGTTATCTGAACGATTGTGTACCAAGTCCTTCTTGAAAAAGAACGTTGACACTTCTAGGAGTTGTGTCTAACTGCAGGCACCTGGTCTCATCGTTGATCGAACAATGGAACCTGGACTAGGTAGTCACAGTCGAATTGCTGGTGGTCTACAGTCAGGCGCAGATTCTTACACAATTAACAATATTAAGCACGCTTCCTATTTCTCCATGGACCTCTTTGCTGAGTGGTATTTTGCAAACTAAACACCACCCTGCCACATCTGTCTCGCCAGTCTCACTCGTATGTATACCCCTCTGTTATTCAGGTTGTGGTAGTCCTTCAGATCGCTTGTCGTTCGTATCTCGCCCGATGTCGTTGTCAACAGCTTCGCCTGCAAGCACTTTCTCGTCGGGAGTTGGCGGCCCGTACGGTTCAACGTGCATGGCGTAGTTACCGATGCCGTCAGCGTTGCATCGTCGAGCATGAAGCAGCCAAACGAATACAGCACTGGTGGCGTGGTCGCTTGACAAGGATACAATGGCTAGAGACAACCAGAGTATGATCTACAATTGGTTTGTGCATTTTGTCATCTAATTATTTACCTTACAACGCACCGGCCCCCACAACAGGAGGTTCTGAGATGTCTTAGCAAATTTTCGGATAGATTCACTGAAGTGAATACAAGATTATTCGGCTTTCATACGCTATATAAGAGATTAAGATAAACCGTAGAGTAAGCGCGGAACCTCCTATCGAGGATCAATGATCCGTCAGTCTTTAGTTCCAATGTAAATAATGTCCATTGCTCAGGGGATCGATGATGATAAGCAGGTGGTCATAAAGTCCTCATCACGTGATCATCAAAGTATCATCTGCGCACCTCCAACAGACACTCATCAGCCACCGGCCCATCACCATCGACCTCATAATATCAGTGTTCAATACTGATGCTTCACTGTCGCATAACTATAATTCATTTGCCAGCTTCTGCTTCCGGACACATTCTTTGGTTGAAGTCTCTGTCGTACAACCGAAGTCGTTCTGGTTGTTTCGGTGCGAATTCGCCCGCACCAACCCAAACGGGGTATAATTCTGAGACTCCAAATGCTTCAGAGAAATATTTGCTTTGGTTGGTGCAACAGAGAAGCTTATAAGGACTCGGTTACTTTGTTTGTATAACCCTTCGTCCTGAAAGATAATTGTTGTGTCTTGCTGAACGGTAGTGCAACTCTGTATCAGTCCCTTGGCTTCCTGTTCCGCCCACTATGGTATATCAAAAGGCATGGTAGCTCTACACAGTCCTTTATGAAGACAAAGGAAAATTGTTACAACTGTATTTATAGGGTAATCACAGGGTGGTCCACAAGGTCGTGCCAGAATCTCCGTGAGGGGGCGAGAAGCGTCAAGTCAAATATGCTCGATCCGGATTGGTTGGCATTCTGACCAATCAGAGCATGGTTTCGTTTGGTCCGTATCCTGCACGTGACACATCCGTACAAGTGATGTTAGGTTCGGTAATTAGAGACGGCTGGCCTCCGGACAAAAATATACTCCAGGGGCAATTGCATCTTAAGAATGTTTTTGAAACGCCATCCTGCTGGACATACCAGAAAGTGTATCTTTGCTCCATGCTACAAGTAAATCACGGGTTGTACACTCATCGTCCGTGTACGCTGTTTATCAGTCGTTTTCTAATCCGCACAGTTTTCCGTCCGTTTTAATGAAGAAGTGTAACTTCCATTAAAATTGCATAGGTTACGCTGTTTGGGCCGTGTAATTCGAGAACATTTTACTTCGCGGAGCCCTCTTCACCCGACTCAGAGGCAGTCGATCCATGACGCGATTGTTCTTTTGCGGTTGAGCTCTGTCTTACTTCTTCCTCGACTGAGAGTCTGGGACCAGGTCCACTATACATGTTGCTTCGTGGCGAATATGCCACCATGGAGAGGACATCACTCCCAATAGGTTGGGAACGCCAGATGATGGCTGATTGTGTGGTGGTTCTCTGAGGTCAAGAATTGCATTTTGACTTCTAATCATATGGTAAAATCCGACAAAATGTTTGAGAAGCACTGATCGACCTCTTTCGGTCGACCACTTTGCGCTCCTCTATATATCGTGTTCAGCCCTGGGCTTGCTATCTTACTCTGTTCAGGTTGTGCTGTGGGTCCAACGCAAGTGGCGCCATATTTTGTTTCGCAGACATGAAGCTGCTTGTTTAATCCAACGTTGTTGGCGGACACACGGCCTCAGACGCTACTTTTATCGGCGGCGCATCGCGGCCACTGTCATTCAGTCTTGTTGGAGGGGCATCCTTCTGAGGAGGCAACTCGCTGACATTGCTGGTCAACACCAGGCGCAGAAAAGCGCGCTAATCAGAGGGAAGATCGGAACCACAGCCATTCAGCGCACCAACAAACTGAAGACGAAATGCAGCAAGATTACCTTTGAGTTCCATTTGGACTCATCAGAGGCACATCGCCTGATCAGAATAAGAACGCAGTTATTTGCAGCTACGAAAGTCGCAGTTAACTCTCCCAATCGTCGTCTGTGTGCTCGAGCCCGCGCGGCAGCTGATTGTCTCATTCATTCTCGATCTGTCACGCAGGTATTGCAAGCAATCAAGGAACTCGGTGAGTCAATATTGAGATCATCTATGTCCATTGTGCTTTCCGTTGTCCTGTGTGTTCGTCTTTTCGACTTACACTGCGTTGTGCCGTTGAACATAACGATACTAACTAATGACTCTCTTTTCATGCAGAAATATTCACTCGCTTATCTTCGGAGATTTGTTTCTGGTCGGTGGGTGTTCTCTCCGCCAGAAGCAACAGCAGCGCGAAATCTCAGGTTCCGTCACACCCAGCGGACCGATCGCCGTTGCTTCATCTACTCTTTCTTGATGTTATTCAAGCCTGCAATCGTTCAGTCCCACACGAAGATATCCTTCTTCGAGTGACGGGTACTCTACTGAACATAGCGCGTCATCGACGCTTAGCTGAACATGCCTCTCTTTGGTGGACGCCACCTTCGTCTCAAGTCGACCATGAAACCTGGATTTCGCCGGCATTGATCGCCCGAACACGGTCGCGCTTAAGTCTTTCCCTCTCCCCAACACGCAAACTGTCTTCGACAACTAATACCGAAAATCAATGCCTACACAGTCCACCTCGACCACATCGAGACCATAGTGACGATCGATCTGCGACAGCTTATTCCAGTGTACCCCTAGATGGCCAGACAAGCGTTGTTGAGGCCCTTATAGGCATCCTATTGAGAACTTGGAGAGCTCGTCCAGGCACGTTGGTAAGTGCGCGTTACAGCTGGCATTCGACATTCATGTCATTTCGTATTTACCCGCAACCACTACAAAATCCTCCGACGGAGATTATTTCTGTCATCCCCAGCCATCTTTACCTTGCAGTACCTGTCTTTGTGGGGCATTTTGATGGCTCACGTTGTGTGCTTGGTCATTGCTGCCACGACGAGACTGGATCTCTCCGTGGTATGACGGTTTGTGTACCTCAGCGGTCCATCGAGTTATACTGTGGGGCGTCCGCGCAACACTCGCAGAGTCTCTCTTACCAGGTTGGTCAGTGGTTGGAGGTCTGACGAACACAGTCTCCTGATTCTCCAGGTTGGAGTTTGGAGCATGTGTGGCGAATAGTTTCGTGAAAATGGTAATGTGCTTGGGTTTCCAGCCTTCTGGATAGGTTTTGGTTGCGGACTCTATCTGGGTATGGGCTCTCTGGCAGTGTCCCAGCTCGTATGCTACCACGAATTTAAATAAATCACAGTTTTACGGCAGCGGCACCAGTGTTGAACACCGATGTCCTTCTGTCCATGATGATGATGATGATGGTTGGTCATTGATCTGTTCGCTAAGAGAAGCAGTTTGGCTCCAAGTCCGCCATCACCATCAGCCCGTTTCCGGTAGATACTTGCGTGTTTCTTATGATTTAACTGAAGTCTGCACATCCGGAGTGACCTTGCATTGCATAGTTTTGGAATTCTTATTGGCTTATAGTCTTTGCTTTGGTAAATCCTCTTATACCCACCCGTTTTGGAAGCTCTCTTAGTGCCAGCCGACAAACTCACTCGACAAATCCTTCAGACCCACAGAATCCAGAGTCGGTCTGCGTGATACAACTGAGCAAAATGGGATTTAACCCTGTTCCGGTTTAAACAGTGCAGCAATTGATTGACTTCAGGGTTTGACCTTTTTTTATTGGTCATCTTAGGGTTGTAATTTAGACGCAATAATTTTTCTTTCACGACTAAGATTCTGAAAGTGACTATCAGGATGTTAAAGTGCAGTGATCTGATATCGTTCAACGTCCTATACATGCCGTTTTAAAGGAAACCGAACAATTCAATTAATACGATTGTGATCTTATGTTCTTAATGCTGTACACCAGTAAGCCTTGGAGAGGTTGTCCCAACACATTGTCAGCGTCCCGAATGGCATCCAAGCATTTGATGCTTTGAATGCATAGCTCCTCTTCCCCTCTTTCCAGTGAAACATTCACTGGCAACGCTGTTCACTTAGATCAGCTACTGCTTCCAATGCGCAGCTATCTAGCTCATCTCACCAACCAAATCATCGATGAACGAAACTGTGGCAGCCAGGACTGCTGTACGGTAAGTACGCGGTTTTTACAACTGATGGTCACGCTGAACGCATTCGGTGTGCCGATGGAAAATCGGGATCGTGCCGTGGACCCATCGGCCTGCGTAATATACTGGCAAATGGTTGCAGCTGTCGAATTAATTCACATGTTTTTGCGTGAAAAGTTTGTGCTGGTTGATGTCGGAAAATTCGCCGTCGTAGGATTATTTTCCTATGTAATTCATTCCATGTCTTGCTCGTGTAGTTTTAGAAAAAGCGGTCACCTGCGAATACCTTTACAGGTTATAAAACCGTCCCCGTTAATGAATGACATATTTCATCGTACCTCACTTTTCCAGGGCATCCGTCTGTTCGCCCGTACCGCATGTTTGTTGGCCATGTTGTGCGATGCGATCCCGATGAATCTGCTCCCTACCGCTTCGTTACTTCCGGTCATTCGTGAACTTTCCAATTGTTTGGCTCGTCGGGGCGGTGGTCCTCAACCGCGTCGTTCGGACACTGTCGAACATACAATGAGTTTGCTAGAGCAAACAGCTGAGCGCATGCGTCACACGATGTCTAATTTACGTAAACAGCTGAGGTTCGTCGGTATACTGCCTCCTCATTGTTTCGATTCACTAGTTGGTACTTTCACCTGAGGTTATCTCCAAAAGAGGACCTGTAAGGTTTATTGTTGATTCTCTTATGACACTATCCCATTTTCCCGTAGTTTGATCTCTTATTCTGCTGCTTATTCAGCATCTCCCTGTTTCCGCTTCCATCCATGACGTATTTGGAGGGTTTGGATTCATGTAGCCGGCTACCACTCGTTCCCTCTCTCTCTCTGATTTTCTTTTCACTATGGGGCGTCGTCGAATCATAAAGATTAACTCATGCTTTCAGTGAATAGTAAATGCTCCGTCTAAGCGGTCTAGAAAGCCTATCGTGCTAAAAATGTAGTCTGTGGAGAACGGCAGCCTCTGTGGTATTCACCATGGGAGCTCTCCGGTGGTTTTGAAAGTAATTTTAGAGAATTTCATCGGTAATGACGGATGGAGGAAGATTGCGGATTTTCAGCTCAAGACGCCTAATGACAAAGTCTGTGCAGCTGTGGTTGCAGTTCTGGGGCTGTATATATAATCATAACCATCCAAGTCGCCCTCCTCATACACGTCGATGTCTTTCCGCAGTACTCAAGCTTCCGATTTGTGCCTCTGCGAGGCTCGTGGTCACCAAAGGTAGAGGCTGCTATTACGATAATCGCAGTTTTTGACTCGATCTAAGGAGAGGTGTAAGACCTACAGAATATTGAGTGACAACATTTGATACTCTCAAATTTCGGGTGATTCTATACTCCCGGATATATACACATTTCGGCTAGCAAATTATATACTGTAATGTGGGTGGTACGCTGATCAGCCGATTGAAGATTCGAGATGTACTGTAAGCAATCGTGATCAGGGTCTTAGCTCACCCAACAAGGGTCAGGGAATACGTACTGTAAAGTCGGGGATGTGTGAATTCATTCAAAAGTTGTTTCCGTTGGATATTATTTTCCGAAGACAAATTACCATGAATTCATTGTGTGCTTGTTTATCCCGCATTCACTGACGAGAATAGTGGCTTCCGCGTGCAAACCACCATCCACTGGAACTCCCGTAGCCACTCTCACCCAATACTAGTAGTCATGTTTGGGTTGTTTAAGCTACTCTTAAATGTTCGTTTTGATCTTGTTTAGCCGGGAGGAAAGGCTTACTACCAGTAGACCTTACACATGTTATTTCCCGGTCGTCTCCCAATCTGGTTGTCATCAGACAACAAAGTTCGAAATACTCCCACAACAATCTGACCACAGTTTACCTCCCATTTATCATTTCACTTTGACCTGATCCACTCCCGTTTCCAATAGTTATGACCTCGAATGGCATCTGTATCCAGTCAAGACGCGCGCGGATCCCACCGTGGCCATCGACTTTCTCCTACTGACCGTGGCATGCAAATCTGCTGCTGGCTGAGCCAACTCTACTCAGCACCTGCCCCAATCATCCGAGAACTTGTGTTTTCACCAAGAATCTTATCATGTGTGTGTGTGTATTCCCACGTAACTAATCTGTACATACACCGGATTTGCCTTCCCACTTTTTGCCGTTGGTTTACATTTGTGGAGGGGTCAGTCTCTGAAGGATGTTAAGCAACCAGCTGTGAAAAGTTTTGTTTGTAATAGCGAGGAACACACCTCGTATGGTTGCGAAGGTGTCTAAGATTAGAAGCCCCAGCATCCTGAAGACCAGTTCAGTGCTGTGTGACGGGTGGGGGGTAGTGGTGAATATCTTGCACTTAGACACTCGTCCATCGTGGAAGAAGAACGGATGATGGTTCCATATAATTGTGAAACAGCTTTCAGCATATCTGGCTCTGCTTACTGAGTGGGATTGACGTTCGAAGGTTTACCAATCCCACTACTTTCCCAATACAGGTAGTCCGATAAAAAGTACGAACTAATCACGAAGCTGATCACTCACTCATGGTTAGTATGTTGACCAGAAGACCGCGGGTTCTAATCTGAGTTGTACTTGGATTGCTCAGTGCTGATGATTCGTAATGCAAGTGAAACAAGTGGACAGTGCTCTTTGGTTCCTCGGTTCACATTAACTTCACCTGCAGGATGAAGTTCTAATTCCTTCGGTTTCCAACTTTATTGTTTCAATCGGCTGAACACTTGGTTGCCTTTCCTTAATCTCATAGACTAACTTAGATTTCCACTCACAGTTCATCTTTCGTTTGAGATCTGTTGGTCGGAGAAGACCTTGCCAATCTTAGCTTCTTTGAAGCGACCTGGTGGGTATGTAACATTTTCACATGGTTTCAGACTGTACCGACTATGAAAACCAGTCCAGAAAGTTGTGTTTCAAGGAAAGTGGTGGCGGTGTTTTTCAGAATGTCCTCAGTGTAGTCGATTGTTTCTATGAATCGACCGAGGCTGGATTGGCTGAAGCTGCAGTCCAATTTTGATTGCAAAATATTTCTCTTTTTCACAACACAGCGTACAAAACCAAACCTTCCGGAACGAAATGAACATCTTTCATCACACATCGCATTCCGTTAGGACCATATCCCTCGTAATTAATACAAAGCTCGTGTAGCACGTCAAAAACCTGATAACTCAGCTAAATGCATTCAAAACCACACTTGAAGTTCCTTAGGAATACGCGAACCAACACTTCGTGTTTCTGTCATTCATTCCATGGTTTCATAATTTGCGATTTTTGCTGTATCGCAATCTTTTGTATTGGTAGCACTATGCTTTGTCGACCGGTTCCTGATGCAAGTAATTTTCAGTAATATGTTCGACTGTTTCTTTAAAGAGAACAGCGATTTGGCTTCAAGTGGAAAAAGCGAGTTCGATAGAAACTTGGGGATTACGTCTACGTGATGAGCTCGAAGAAAGGTAAAATCATCAGTACTGGCTTTTGATAATTCTCCATTGACCTTATGAATGGAAAGCTTATTTCACATTAGATGGCCAATTCAGTAGGCAATGCTAGTTTTACGTGTGTAATTTCGTCTGCTCAAGTAAATTCTGTTTTAAATCAACTCTCCCCAAACATGTGCAGCTGTTTGATAAAGTGGTTTTCTCACTTCATTTGAAACAGTCGAAGCTCCAGGAACAGGATGATTGAAAAACGAGCCCACACTGATTATTCTGCCGCTTAAGGGACTAAACAGCTGCTTGTTTATTGATCGGACAAGGACGAGTGGAACCTGATCCGGTTTCTTTTGGCTGTTCCAAGTCCAATAAGTTCGCTTCTGACCAGGAACATTAGTTCTCTCAAGCTTTTTCTTGCACGGTCTTCCTTGTTCACAGAAGCGAAAAGCTGTCTCTCCGAGAGGCTACAGAAAGAATACTATCATGTGATGTGGGTCGGACAATCAACAGATTCGATGGAGCTCACCCGGAAATATTGATACGGCGAAAAAATCGTTCAGCTCTAACACCCTTTCGATGTCTAACTGCCATGCCAACCGAGAGCTGTGATGCTGCCATGTTTCCCATGCCTAGACAGGGAAAGTCGAGATGAAGAGGTCGCTTTCGAACCTTTTAGTCAGTAATTTCGTACTCTAGTCACTGATCACTACGGCTGTGAATGGGACAGAGTTCAGGTGTTCTACTTCCACCAGGTATCAGAGATGCAATCATCTAGGAAAACTCGTTCCCCCAGTGGTGTACAGCAAGAAGGCGGTATATCAAATGCCATAATCTTATTTTCAACGTATGTAAACTGTATTCAAGTTTGAATTTTGAGTTGCACTTCTGCGCAGGCTATTGGGTTCTTTTTGGTGTCGTAGAGCCAGAATTGCGCGGTGTTGTCGAGCTGGTGTTCAATGGAAAAAATATTTGGTACGGAATAAGCAATGTACGGCGTGGAATAAAGGAAGGAGCCATATACAAATCAACATTGTGCCAACGAGAGACCCTAGCCAAACTACTTTACGACCGAAAGTGTCACAATGACCGGCTTATTGTTTGTTTGTTTGTTTGTCTGTTTGAGCTGACGTTTTAGACAACGTGTGTATCCGTAGTACAATATTACTCCCAATTTCGGAGATAACCCTTTTTCAGCTTATGCTTCATTTGCTCTTCTATAGCTGGTCAGGTTGGTGGACAGATCTACATGTGGGTTCCAAACAAGCCTTGTTCAAACCATCCATCGACAGAAAATTTCTGGGTCTCTTTCTTACCTATGAAAAGAAAATGGTCAGTTGAGTTTCGATTGTTGATATCTAATCAATGGTATATGAAACACCGTGTCACGAATACGGTGAAGTACAGTGCATATTATTTCTCTCGGACGGACCAGTCCTTTTAATGGTCGGGTTCTTGTGACTTGAAATGGTCAAAAAAATTGATTCTAAACGGAATGTGCGATTAGCACAAAGCCTGGAAATTGTTCAGGTCGAAAATATGACTCTGAAAGTATATTATTAAAGTACCGTGCGTCACTTAAAATAACTTCACAACTTTAAATACCAGTCCGACAAAACATGTAGGAAAATTTTCGGTCTTCGACAGGCATGCAGGACGCTAGTATCATAGTTACAGTTCACACAGAAAGTCACAATTTCCTTGTATTTATGAAATTTCGGGCTGTTGAAATTCGGATAGCTAACTCGACGAGTTGCCTTGGCTCATTCAACGATTTGTTTGGTTGGACTCGAAGAGAATCTCCAGTGTTCTACTTGTCGGTTAGAGGTGCATGCCCAACTGGTAGTTACAGGACATTGGCCAATATACACTCATTTGCAAACTAATTTGGTTTTTCGAGAGACTCACCTGAAACCCAGCTGAGTCTCTCGTTTGTGATGTTCTCAGGCAACTGAATGTGTTGCACCAGGCCGCCTCATGTTTCAGTCGCTACGATATTCTCGATACATGTATATCTTTGTAACGTGCTACTCATAAGGTTGCTGAGTAGTGCATTACAAAGGTAAAACTCGTAGATAAACTTGTATGCATACTACTACAAGGTTCTCTGAATGAGCATACAGCCCTACAGAAACACTCCTTTTAATAGGGGCCGATACATGCGGCGTATACATC